GGAAGTGAAAAGGAAATTTAATTATTAGATGTGGAGGAGCAATTATTAGATGTGCCCATGATTGGAGGATTTGGTAAGGTGCATGGAATAGTTGGACTTCATGTGGTGAAATAATATAAGGGTCTTAAAGGGACAAGCACATTGAAAGCTCATATGATGTGAGTAGTAGAAAATATAATTATATTCATTTTGGGTACATTATGGGGTTGCACTATTGCCTCCGATTTATTTTTAGGGATTCCAGACACCCACCCGGCATATGGAGTTAGGTTCCCCAGAGAGGAGATTGAATTGAAGAGGACGAGTTTGTAGCGGTATTTTAAAAATCTACACACAGTTATTTAAATGTGAGCACAATATATAAACACTTTAACACATTTAGATAGAAAAATATATATTACACTGTATAGTTTTTCTTTTATTTTTGAGATTGAATATCTGGGAGAGAAACCTCTATCATGAGTGGACGCATGCACTTTATTGGACACGAAGGTGACACTTGGAGGACTTTTGAACTATTCAAGCGCTGATTTTGGAATATATCTTATACTCTGCTAGGGTAGTGGAGGTTTTCAGCTGCTAGGAGACTGACATTTATACTGTGTTGCGCTAACATTTGATATTCGTATATTTTGTTATTATCTCTGAAATATGGCTCTGTAATTTGTATTTCTTTGTAACAATTCCCTCATTTCTGGAACCTTTCTCATTAGGGTGCCTTGAGGTTTCTTATGGGTGCCTTGGCAAAATGTCTAAAAGTTGCCCAAAAACTTGTATACAAAAAGCGGATGGAACAAGCCTTCCTTTTTAGTTACACAAAGCCACAGGTTTACATTGTGCACCATTATGACCTATTAGCTGCGTGCGTCCTTATCAACTGATGAGGAGAAGGGGCCCAGATGGGAGAGGGGCTTACCTCAAGGCAGTAGGACCTGGGAAGGCCGAAAATCTTAGAAATACACCAGCACCCAGAGAGAGGACCACCTATGTGGCAGATAAAGGAGTGGCCAAGCTAGCAGAAACCAACCCAAAAGCAACACAGGAGAAGGACTAAGTGAGTATACCTGCACCCTCTGGACTAGATAGGGGAAGGAGGCATTCTAGTGGGAAGCTATTAGCCTGCCACCTAGGACTGTTTCACTATTTATGTGGCAGACATCGGATCCCCTGCTCAGGGATTCCTCCAGACAGCTAAGTAAATAAGAGGATTTATCTAGGTCTGGGATGGTACTACATGGGAGGCTGGCTGCTCTCCAGAAGAGACTGATTGCTGTAACCACTGTACATAGTTCAGGAAGTTTCCTGTGTTTCTCAGTTCCATTGGGCATCCTGTACTCCTTTAACCCTATCCAAGTTGAAAATCCCCTAATAAACATCAAAAACAAGTTCAAGGACTGGTTACTGACTCCTGAGTGCAAGTTGGTGTGAAAATGCGTGTTGCCTGGTTGTGCAGGACTATATTGGTACCCAAAACTTCAGCAACTCCTGAGGGGGTAGTGCTACATATTGTACAGATGTACTACTTCACAATCAGGTTAAGGACTTTTTCACCATGGTTTTTAAAAGAATTATGCATTTTTAAACATATTTTTAATGCCTGTGGCGTGCGCTGGGAGGGGGGGAGTTGCAGAGAAGAGGGGTGAGGAGGGTATATAAAGGGATATGCTCCCCTCCACACTGAGGGATTTGAAGAAAGCTGGGCTGTTTAACTATGACAAGTGAATAAGGACAACTTAGATATACATTTATGGGACCTCCTTAGCGGTAATCCCGAGTGTAGCTTGGGGTAAAATTTCTATACCAAGAGCGGTAAACCCCGAGCTACACTCGGGCTTACCATGCGGCGCTGCTCTGGGGTCCCTGCAACACTTACCTTGTCCTTCGCTCCCACGATGTTTCCCCTGCAGCGTCCCCGGCCATCTCCTCCGGGCCAATGCCGGCATCCGGCTTCTGTGTTCCGATCTCTGTGACGTCGGGACATACGGGCGCCGGAACCGGCGGGAAATTTGAATTTTTTAAAAAATGTAATTTTTGCTGTCATTGCTGTTTCAATGCATTTCACATATATTTTGTCCCTACTGCTTTGTCCTGTGCCCTGCCTGCATTTTGAATGTTCTGTCTGCCTGGGAACTTAGAAAAGTCCATGGCGTCCAAAAAGCGTCCCTTTACGTCAAAAGCGGTTTTAGAACAGCAATAGTAAATCAGAACCACTTGCAGAATTGAGTGATAATGATTTGTGGGGAAATTCGTCATCAGACACTGAAAACGATTTTGTGACTTTGCTCAGCGATGTGCGAATTTGCCTCTGTATTTCAAATTTCAGTGTTTTTGGTTTGATTATATTATTGAAATAAATTTATTATTATTATATTATTATTTTTTATGATTATTTATTAAATTATAATTTATGATTTTGTGTGTTTCAAATTTTATCATACCCGGAATGTTTAATAGACTCTTGTTTGGACAGATTTCAGTGAGTTATTCCTAAAAATTACAGCCTACAATAAAAAACTACATATTTCCATGCAAAAAAATGGGTACCGCTTTCAGCACAAAAAATCGGAAAGAATCATACCGCCAAGGAGGTTAAGCTCTCTATGTGGTTCCCCCCCCCCCCCCCTTTGCTCTTTAATGTTGTTATGTATGCACTATGGTTTTGGTTTTCATTGTTGGGGCATAGGGCCAAAGAATACAGAATTATACTATACAGTATATACTATTGATGATCTGATTTATTGCATATTGGAGGAACTTTATTTTCCCTTTGTTTCATCAGCTTCAGGATCTGAATAATGAACTTCATAGACTTGTTGTACAGATCCTTTTCTGTGAAAAATTGCAAGACAGTGTAACAATAAGGGGTCTGTATTTATTAAACAGTGGTGCTAATTAGTGCTAATACATTATCTGAAGTGCATTATTATGAATGAATGGTCATTTGATTTATTGCTTTTCTAGGTTTTATATTCACCACTTTTGGTGTTCCCTCCTGCATCCTCCTTTAATAGTCTTCCTTTGTGGTCTATGCTTTGGGGTTGTGACCACTGTGTTTGATGCCACATTGCTATAAAGTTTTTATGCAATTGTTATATCATTATGACTGTTCATGGTAAGATACACTATATTGCCAAAAGTATTGAGATGCCTGCCTTTACACACACATGAACTTTAACCACTTGCCCTCCTGAGGATTTACTCCCCTTCCTGACCAGGCCATTTTTTGCGTTACAGCGCTGTTTTACTTTAACTAACAATTGCGTGGTCATGCAACACTGTACCCAAATGAAATTTACGTCCTTTTTTTCCCATTGATTGAGTTTTCTTTCAGTGGTATTTGATCGCCTGTGTGTTTTTTAATTGTTTGCGCTATAAAACAAAATAACTGACAATTTTGAGAGAAAAAAATATTTTTGACTTTTTACTATTAAACATGTCCAATAAAATTTTTTTTAAAAAGCCAAATTTCATCATAAAGTTAGGCCAAAATGTATTCTGCTACATATTTTTGCTAAAAAAAAAATCCCAATACGTGTAAATGAATTGATTTACGTGAAACTTATAGCATTTACAAATGGCGGTATGAATACTGGATTTTTTTTGGTAATGTATTATTTTTACTAGTAATGGCAGCGATCAGCGACTTATAGTGGGACTGCGGCAGGCATTCTGATACTGGGGGGAACTGACATGGTGTCACTGACATCCCCAGTGATACCAATACAGTGATCAGTGCTAAAAAAAAAAAGCACTGACAGTGTACTAATGGCACTGGGCAGGACGGGGTTAACATGAGGGACGATCAAAAGGTTAACTGTGTGCTGGGTGTGTTTTACTATGGGCAAATGTCTAGAAAAGCTTCAGGCCAACAGTGTTCCATATACCTGGAGTACTGCACCCAAGGCCGATGTCAGTATTTGAGAGGGATGGTCCATGTGTCCTTAGGATCTGCATGTCTGCTGGTCATCCGCATAAGAGTGCACAAAGGCGCATTTAAAATTGCGGTCGGTGAGTGCGCATTTTTTCTATCTGATACCAGTCACCTTTATAAGGAGGAAGACCTTCATACACCTATGGTCACTTAATTGTGGAAGGACTTTATGAACTATTTATTTGTATTCATTTTAGCATGTTCTTTTTTAATTAATACACCAGCGCTGCACTTTATATTATTATTCTTGCTTAAAGGTCCAGTGATTCCTTAGAGTGTTCCAGCAGCTGAACTATGAGCGCTCGCTTTATCCTTATGCCGTGTTTTACTATGGGGCCATGTGTTTGTGCTTCACTGTAATCGCACTGCTTTGCATGGCTGTGCTGTATACAATCACCGAGCGCCGGCGAATAATCGCCAGCCGTGAATGGCGGTGCGGGTAGGGCCCCCTGTCCGGAAGTGCAAAATCATGTACAGTATATACACGTGATTTTGCGCCCTGTAGCCACCCTGTAGCATTATATGTGCTATAGGGAGGTTGGGAAGCAGTTAATGGCAGCCTAGTCTTAGTCCATAGGTTCAATACTGACTTGGCCCATCCTTTGCAGCTATAACAGCTTCAGCTCTTTTGGGAAGGATGTCCACAAGGTTTAGGCATGTCTTTGGGAATGTTTGATCATTCTTCCAGAAGCGCATTTGTGAGGTCAGGCACTGATGTCGGGCGAGAAGGCCTGGCTCGCAGTCTCTGTTCTAATTCATCCCAAAGGTTTTCTTTTAGGTTGAGATCAGGACTCTGTGTAGGCCAGTCAAGTTCCTCCACCCTAAATTCGCTCATCCATGTCTTTATGGACCTTGCTTTGTGCACTGGTGTTAAGTTATGTTGGAACAGGAAGGGTCCATCCCCAAACTATTCCTACAAAGTTGGGAGCATGAAATTTTCCAAACTGTCTTGGTATGCTGACGCCTTAAGAGTTCCCTTCACTGGAACTAATTGGCCAAGTGGCCAACCCATGAAAAACAACCCCACACCATAATTCCCCCTCCACCAAACTTTACACTTGGAACAATGCAGTCAGGCAAGTACCGTTCTCCTGGCAACCACCAAACCCAGACACGTCCATCAGATTGCCAGACAGTGTGATTCGTCACTCCACAGAGAACACATCACCACTGCTTTAATGTCCAGTGGTGGCTGCTTTACACCACTGCATCTGATGCTTTTCATTGCACTTGGTAATGTAAAGCTTGGATGCAGCTGCTCGGCCACCTATTCCATGAAGCTCTCTACACACTGTTGTCGTGCTAATCTGAAGACCACATGAAGTTTGGAGGTCTTTAGCTATTGACTCTGCAGATAGTTGGTCACTTCTGTGCACTATGCATTTCAGCATGCTCTGACCCACTCATTTTATGTGGCTTACCACTTTGTGGCTGAGTTGCTTGTATCCCTTGTTGCTTCCACTTTGTTATAATACCACTAACAGTTGACCGTGGAATATTTAGTAGCAAGTAAATTTCACTGATAGACTTATTGTACAGGTGGCAGCCTATCACGGTACCACACTTGAATTTCGAGCTCCTGAGAGCGACCCATTCTTTCACAAATGTTTGTAGACGCAGTCTGCATACCTAAGTGCTTGATTTTATACACCTGTGGCCATGGAGGTGATTGAAACACCAAGAATCCAATGATTTGGAGGGGTGTCCAAACCTTTTGGCAATATAGTGTGTGTGGAAGTGTTTTGGATGTTTTGTACTATATATATTGTGAGAACTAGCATCAGGGTAGGGCTTTAAGGTACACAGCCACTCGCTTTCTTGTTTTTAAGGGCCATTTTGCACAATTTTATTTAAAAGAAAGTTCCATAAATCCAACACCATAGATTTCCCTCACAGGGCTTTTCAGCATTTCACTCTTCAAAACACAGACTTTTAGCCTCCTGGCTTATACATACAATCCTGCTGATCTGTCCTTCCCCTTCAGGCTCATGTCTGTCTCCCGCAGACGCTTTTCTAAATGGCTCTTTCAGGCACACAGCTAGCAGCCCCTTGCTGCTCTGGCTCCCACCTCTCCTCGATGGAGCTGTCCTGACACCTGGGCAATGACCTCCTGTCTGCCGGGGTGGAGCCGAGAACCCTAGTCAGGTTATTACTGAAAGCCCTGCACACACCTGTACAATTAGTGTGCTGGGGGTTCTCAAAACATGGACCCAGGATTGGAGATTTTAGAAAAAAATGAGGAAACTGGAAAGCCAGTTTCCTCTGCATTAGGCAAACCCCCTGGAGCCCCTCAACCTGCCTGCCTGGTGGGGTACCGCACTGTTACTAAATATAAATAAATAAATATATATATACAGTGGGGCAAAAAAGTATTTAGTCAGCCACTAATTGTGCAAGTTCTCCCACTTAAAAAGATGAGAGAGGCCTGTAATTGGCATCATAGGTAGACCTCAACTATGAGAGACAAAATGAGAAAAAAAATCCAGACAATCACATTGGCTGATTTGGAAAGAATTTATTTGCAAATTATGGTGGAAAATAAGTATTTGGTCACCTACAAACAAGCAAGATTTCTGGCTCTCACAGACCTGTACCTTCTTCTTTAAGAGGCTCCTCTGTCCTGCACTCATTACCTGTATCAATGGCACCTGTTTGAACTTGTTATCAGTATAAAAAGACACCTGTCCAAACCTCAAACAGTTCACACTCCAAACTCCACTATGGTGAAGACAAAGAGCTGTCGAAGGACACCAGAAACAAAATTGTAGACCTGCACCAGGCTGGGAAGACTGGAATCTGCAATAGGCAAGCAGTTTGGTGTGAACAAATCAACTGTGGGAGCAATAATTAGAAAATGGAAGACATAAAAGACCACTGATAATCCCTCTATCTGGGGCTTCCACACAAGATCTCACACCCGTGGGGTCAAAATGATCACAAGAACGATGAGCAAAAATCCCAGGACCACACGGGGGGACCTAGTGAATGACCTGCAGAGAGCTGGGACCAACGTAACAAAGGCTACCATCAGTAACACACTACGCCGCCAGGGACTCAGATCCTGCAGTGCCAGTACATGTCCGGGCCCGTCTGAAGTTTGCTAGAGAGCATTTTGATAATCCAGGAGAGGATTGGGAGAATGTCATATGGTCAAATGAAACCAAAATAGAACTGTTTGGTAGAAACACAACTCGTCGTGTTTGGAGGAGAGAGAATGCTGATTTGCATCCAAAGAACACCATACCTACTGTGAAGCATGGGGGTGGCAACATCATGCTTTGGGGGTTTCTCCGCAAAGGGACCAGGACGACTGATCCATGTACAGGACAGAATGAATGGGCCATGTATCGTGAGATTTTGAGTGCAAACCTCCTTCCATCAGCAAGGGCATTGAAGATGAAACGTGGTTGGGTCTTCCAACATGACAATGATCCCAAACATACCGCCTGGGCAACGAAGAAGCGGCTTCGTAAGAAGCATTTCAAGGTCCTGGAGTGGCCTAGCCAGTCTCCAGATCTCAACCCCATAGAAAACCTTTGGAGGGAGTTGAAAGTCTGTGTTGCCCAGCGACAGCCCCAAAACATCACTGCTCTAGAGGAGATCTGCATGGAGGAATGGGCCAACATACAGCAACAGTGTGTGCTAACCTTGTGAAGACTTACAGGAAACATTTGACCTCTGTCATTGCCAACAAAGGATATATAACAAAGTATTGAGATGAACTTTTGATATTTGACCAAATACTTATTTTCACCATAATTTGCAACTAAATTCTTTCCAAATTAGCCAATGTGATTGTCTGGATTTGTTTTCTCATTTTGTCTCTCATAGTTGAGGTCTACCTATGATGCCAATTACAGGCCTCTCTCATCTTTTTAAATGGGAGAACTTGCACAATTGGTGGCTGTCTAAATACATTTTTGCCCCACTGTGTATATATATATATATATATATATATATATAAATGGTTTACCTAGTTCAAGACTTTGGAGGTGTTGTACATGCCACTAAGAACGCCATCTTAGTACACAGGATGTGTGTAACATGTCCAGGTCCTCCTGCCCTGCTGCCAGGAATGCCTCCCCCCCACTCCCATGCATTTTTTGCCTCTGATTAATTAAAGCCAGAGTTGCTGTATATTTAAAGCTGCTCTGGCAGCTGTTGCTGTAACCCCCCCCCCCCCCCCCAAAAAAAAAACCCTGTTTGACCCAGTGTTTATTAACAACACCATCCAGACAGAAATAGAAAGATACAAAGTGACATAGATTTGTATCTGCACAGTTCATTCATCGCATATCAAAGGAATGAAGGGTCAGTTACAGCAACTTGGCAAGTAAATTTTTTTTTTTAATAAAGTCTTCCCTGTTTTACCCCTTTTTAACCATTAGTTTGCTCTAATCAGCTCTAATTAACTCCTTATTCTCTCTTTCTATTCAATTACTATTTTCCTGCAATTTGTTCTTTGTTTGGTTCTATTTTATTAATCATTAATATTTAAACTTTTTTGTTTGTTTTGTTCATTAATATGTTTAAAATTTCACATTTTAAAAAGTGCAAAAATTAAAAAAACAAACAAACAAACATTATTTCATTTGCAAATAACTTTTCAATGCTTTGTACTAGAATCATCATTTTTGTGTCATTTTAAACCGGACAAAATGTGCACTTTTAACTGCAGTAACACTTTATTTTTAAAACTAACACTGGTCATAAAAAGTGCACTTTGCTTAGGTTTGTTAAGTTTGTCTAAAGCCTAGTACAGACGATCAGAAAATTGCATGAAAAATACAGCATTTGAGGCGATGTACAATAATCTGATCATTAGTACACAGCTTTCTTTCGAAATTATTTGAAGGGACAAGCATGAAAATTTTTCTTGTATGATACCAGATCGTATGATTTTTGTTTAATCAGCAATTTTCGTCCGAAAATACAATACAAATACATTACATTACACCACAAAAATTTCCATAACTTTAGTAACCTCTTCACTTTCCATATGAGACTAGCATGCAAAAAAAAAAAACGGATGATCATTCGTCCAATATTCTTATTTATGTGTGCAGGGCTTAAGGAGTGTTAAAAAAATAATAATTGTTGCAAGACAATATCATGAAAAGAAAGCCTTGTTTGTACTTAAAAAACCTACATTGGCTAAAATTATGAGTTTCATTGTAGATACTTACCTCTGTACATCTCCTGAGGAAGTGGGCCAGTTGGCCACATCTACAATCACCATTAAGATCTTTGTATATTGCTATCATATCTTCTCTCAAGCGTCTCTTCTCCAGGGAGAATAAGTTTAATGCTTGCAGTCGTTCCTGGTAACTGAAGTCCTCCAGCCCACTTATTAGCTTGGTCACCTTTCTCTGGTCTCTCTCCATTTCCAAGCACATCCTTCCTGAGGATATGTGACCAGATCTGAACAGCATACTCAAGTTGTGGCCAAACTAGAGTTTTCTAAAGTGGCAGAATTATACTTTTATCTCTGGCGTAAATTCTCTTTTTTATGCATGCTAATATTCTGCTTGCTTCAGCTTGGCATTCACATTGCCATTGCTGAGTCTGTCATCTACTTGAACCCCAGATCTTTTTCCATCCTGGATTCTCCCAAAGATCTCTTCCCTAGTGAATAACTTGCATTCATATTTTCTTTTACAAAGAATTTTATTGTAAGTAAGCAAAGTTAAACAGTCATACGACAGACAGATGCAATGACCGACAATAATAAATTGTACAATGTAATTGAGCACTAGTATAAATCATATATTGGAAAAAATGTGAGTTTTATCTCGTAATAAAAAATGCCCTGAGGGAGAAGACGATCAGGGGGTAGGAGAGAGACACTAACATTTTGAAGGTCAATGAAATTGTAGACTCTAAAGGGGATTTGCTACATCTACAGATAGAAAACATGAATTACTAAACTTTGGGCTAACTTGCATTCATATTTTTAGCCCCCAGGTGCAATACTTTACATTTTTCAACATCAGACCTTATTTGCCATGTATTTTCCCACAGCTTTATTTTGTAGAGGTCTTCTTGTAAAGTTTCATTATCCTGAGGTGAAGTTATTGCCCTGCTTACCTTTGTATCATCAGCAAACTATTTATACCAACCTCTATATCATTTATAAATAAATTAAACAGAATTGGTCCAGAAAACAGAGCCTTGTGGTACCCCACTTACAACTCCAGATCAGTCTGAGCACTCGCTATTTATCAACACCCTTTGGATGCGCCCATGTAACCAGTTTTCTATCCAGGTACACACCTTGCGGTCAGGCCGGAATCTAGGGATCTACTGAGGTGGATCATGCCCCCCAGATTTTAGTTGTTCCCTCAGAACGTTGAGAGCATATCCACAAATCCATGAGACTTGATGGGGACAGTTGATGTAAGGGGACACTCTGATGGGGATATTTGATGTAAAGAGGGCTCTCTGAGGAGGGCAATTGACGTCAGGGGCACTTTGATATGGACATTTTTTGTAAGGGAACTCTGGTGAGGATACCCAATGTAAGGGGGACCAGGGGCGGACTGACCATTTGGAAACTCTGGCACTGCCCAAGGGCCCGTGGTCAGTAGGGGGCCCCATGAGATGCCCTTGGTACCTTTTTCATAGGCTTTTTTGAGTTTGGGCAAGGACACAGGGGCCCCATGATCCCCTATTGCCCGGGGGCCCCATGAGTTGTCAGTCCGCCCCTGAGGGGACTCTTATAGGAGCTCTTATA